GGTGGCGTGGGTGTCTGATGCCGGGGGTGTGAACAGCTGTGTAGCGGGGAGCCTCACCAGGCTCTCTACCTCAGGTAGGAGGGGTTCGTAGGAGGGGAAGGGGGGGTAGAGGATGTAGGAGGGGATAGCCTAGAGGAGAGGTAGAGGGGAGAGAGGGAATGCTCTCTTTCCCCTCAGTCTTAATGATCTTAGGAAGGACACACTCGGCGGTGTTAGGTATAGGGCGGACAGTTTGGTTTCCTCGTGCGGGGGATGAGTGTAGGCCAAAGGGAACATGTAACTGGGGCATTGCTTTTCTATGTAGATCTAGGTAGTGACATATATATATATATATATATATATATATATATATAATATATATATATATATATATATATATATATATATATATTTATACAGAGATTAAATTATGAGGGATTAAATTGTTAGGTAGGGTTAGATCTTTGAAAATGTACGTAGCAGTTGAACGAAATTATACATATTTATTGTAGGGTGTATCATTTTAGGATTAACGCTGTACATGAGGTAAATAGGTCTGAACTTTATAAGAAAGATGTCATTGAATAATCTGTATGCCATGGTTGTCTTATACATGAGTTGTCAGTACTGCGGTCAGGTCAAGTGTATTATGGGTATAAGGTAGAAGAATAAGAAGAAAGAAGAAAGAAGAAAGAAAAACAAGAAGAAAGAAGACAAGAAGAAAGAAGAATGAAGACTATGAAGAGGAAATCAAGTCAACGGCTCCTCGCAACGCTTCTCCTCGTCGACGTCGAAAGGTGAGTCCACGCCCTCCGCTTTACTTGTTTGTTCCTCCAGAACAGGTCTGCTCTTTTCCCAAAGTAAATGGGTCATAGAAGGTCTGCCTCTTTTACGGTGTCGTGTTGATTACTCTATCTATTCTATTCTATCCGGAAGGTTGGTAGTTTGTGTAACCTTTGTGGCCGATTTTGAGGACATTTCTGTTACCTATTTTGAGTATGTATTTTCTCGTTGTTCATTTGGCCTTCAGTTACACCGACCCTGCCACCCGGTTTACGTGCCGTCATTTCGAAATGAGATGATATCCTGCTTTACAGAAATAACAAACATGGCATGGCGCGGGGTCGTTATTCTGAGGGGCAATAAACTTTCGTGTCAAGGAGTAGTGTAATTCGGCTACTCCGTTCCGTAGACTTTTGACCATTCTTTATGCTGTTGATTGTTAGTTAAAGAGATATTTGATATTGTGTATTGCACGTTTTATATTTTCCGATAAGGTGACGACGGCCGCCGTTCGACAATGAATTTCACGTTAAGGCTGTTATCAATCATCGATAATGAATCGATACCCTGGTGAGGGCCGTTAGACAAATAGTCGGTGTCTGTTGTTTACGTTGATCGATTGGTTTATGCGGCCTTGTAAATTATAGATGGAGGAAGGAGTGACGGTCTGGGTTAATGAGGTAAGCGAAAGTGTGGTTAGAGTAATTAATAATTTCTCTTCGTTTTATGACGGGAGGGATAAGTACCCGTGGCAGGGGAGTTGGTAGATTTGAGTGTGGAAGAAGACTAGTAAGTTGTGAGAAAGAAGAGATATTTAGTCAAATGAGGAATGGGGAGGGCCGGGGAGGAAGAGGGTGGAATAGGGTAAATAGAGAAGGAACAAGGAATGGTAGAGGTACGTAGAAATAGAGAGTTTAGGGAGGAGTTTGCCGAGGGAGAGAATACTCCGATGTATAGATAAATACATAGATATTGATAAGAATTTCTGATTTCACGTGACATATCCTAAAAGGAAACGAGGAGAGTATGAATTCCTCTCTCCGCCGTTCGTGACAGCAATCACCGCAAGCAGATCAACCATTTTCGAATGAGTTTGCACGAACGGGAGGAGCGGGACGTGCGGGGGATCCTGGGCAAGGGAGCACGCGCCATGCGGCTGGGAGGACGCGGGGAATAAAGTTCGGTGCGGGGAATTTCGGGGAGAAGAGGAGGGCAAACACGGGCGGGAACTTTGCCAGAGAGAGAGAGACAGAGAGCGGCAGGAAAAGTGGCAGGCGGGTGAACAAGCAGCCGTCGGTTAAGCAGACAGGCAGCAGGCAGGGAAGCAGGCAGGTAGGCCGAGAGGGTAGGAGGCGAGCGAGCAGACTGATGCGAAACAGATAATTAAGAAAGGATATTTGCATACTGATGTAGAGCGACGGGCTTGGACAGAGACAGCTGCAATGGAGACTTGGGCGGACGAGCGAGAGGAGGCACGCGGCGGCCGAAAGATTTGATTCTGAACGGCAAGAGAATTCGAAAATAGAGTGGAAATGAAAGTGAAAGAATGAAGGAAGGACACAACACGGTCGAAGATAAGAGAGATGGAAGATAGTATTGAAAACAGGACTGCTGTTTGTGGTGGAATGTGGACGAAACGGGGAACGAGAAAGAACCGAAGGGATAGGATAAGAAGGGATAAGAGAGAGAGAGAGAGCAGAGAGAAAGAGAGAGAGAGAGAGAGAGAGAGAGAGAGAGAGAGAGAGAGAGAGAGAGAGAGAGAGAGAGAGAGAGAGAAAATAGCCCAACGAGGGTAGAAAGAGAGCAGGGTCGCGAACGGGAGAGAAGGATAAAAGCTTCGGCCCTGAACTGCGTCGGGCTGCTTTTAGGGTCGGTTGGGTACTGGCCATGAGGGCGCGGAGGCGCAGGAGGCGCGGGAGGAGGAAGAGGAAGAGAGAGAAATAGAGATAGAGGAAGGGATAGAAATAGAGGTAGAGGAAGAGGGGGTAGGAGAGAAGACGAAGAAGGGTTAGGAAAGAGAGGAGAGGAAAAGAAGAGAGAGAGAAAAAAAAGATAAGGATCACCCCTCTGCGTTCATGTTCTCGTGCACGCATTCGTATTCACTTTTTTTTGTGCGTCCCGGATAAGAGGATTTTGCAAAGCATACATGATAATTTACGTATTATATATTTTCCCCCTCCCTTCCTAAACGTCGAGGGGGGAAAAGTTGGGTTGCACCAAGGGGAAGGGGCGTTCGGAAGCGGTGCGGGTGCGTTGTCCCAGGAAAGAGTTCTCAGCAAGCGGGGACTCCGGGCGGCCAGTGGAGGCGGGCGGGAGAGGAGGAGCAGGAGGGGGGGGTAGGGGTGGGGGAGGGGAGGAGGGGGAGGGGTTACCGGGTGGCGGCCTGTCATGGCGGGCGCAGAGGAATTTAGCCACAGGAGGTTGCGAGGGATGTCGTAAAAGAAGTGCCCCGTGCAAGGGAGAAGGAAACAGGAGCGAAGGAGAGAGGGGAGAGGAGACAGAGGTGAGTGTCTGGGACGAAAATGGTGAGGAAACAACAAGGGGAGAGGGAGAAGGAGGAGGGAGAGGGAGGAGGAGGAGACGAGAAAAGAAGAGAAGAGAGAGAAAGGATACCTTTTAAAAGGATCCGAACAGGACAGATCTATATACTAAAGAAAAAAAAAACAATCTCGCTCATGTTCCAGATACTATGTAGATTAATGAACATCGGAAAGGGGGGAAGGGCACAAGTGGATGAAGATATGTAGATGAGAAGGCCAAGTAATGATCGGGGAGTAAGACAATCGATAAAGCGAACGGGGAAGAGGCAAGGCCGGATGAGAAAGGGGAGGAGAGACGGAGCCGGAGAGGAAGGCGAAGACGCAGGCGGCGGGCGCACCAAGTAGCAGGAGGAGGCAGGCCGGGATCGCGGGTGTGATCGCGGGCGTGCAGGGGCGTAGGTACGAAGACAGCTTTAAGCGCCGTTGGTAATGAGGGCGTGAGGGAGTAGGAGGCCGCCCATGGCTCGCAATCAATACGAGGATCAATGTTGCCTGCAGAACCTTAACAACCTGTGGCCTGTTGAGTCCCAGCCGTCGTACATCAGGTCTTGCGTGTCCTGGTGTGTCGCAGGTGTCACACGGTGTCACACGGTGTCACACGGTGCTATACGGTGCCTGTGGCGGGGCGTGTGGCTCCGTGGACACCAGCGGGTATTGCCAGACATTTCATTTTTCACTGCTGGAAGGTTGTCTGTCAGGTGGAAGGGATGAGTCGGCAGTTCTGGGCTCTCTCTCTCTTTCTCATCTCTCTCCTCTCTCTCTCTCTCTCTCTCTCTCTCTCTCTCCTCTCTCTCTCTCTCTCTCTCCTCTCGTCTCTCTCTCCTCTCTCTCTCTCTCTCTCTCTCTCTCTCTCTCTCTCTCTCTTCTCTCTCTCTCCTCAGCCTCCTCTCTCTCATCTCTCTCTCCTCTCCCTCTCCTCTCCCTCTCCCCTCTCCTTCTCCCTCCTCTCTCCTCTCTCCTCTCCCTCTCTCTCCTCCCCTTCTCTCCTCTCTGGTCCCCTCTCTTCTCTCTTTCTCTCTTCCTTTCCTGTCCTCTCTCTCTCTGATCTCTCTCTCTCTCTCTCTCTCTCTATCTCTCTCTCTTCTCTTCTCCTCCCTCCTCACTCTATCCCCTCTCCTCTCCCTCCCCTCTCTTGCATCATCCTCTCTCTCTCTCACCCTCTTCTCCTCTCCTCTCTCCTCTCCCTCTCCCTCCTCTCCCTCCTCCCCTCGTCTCTCTCCTCTCTCTCTCTCCTCTTCTCTCTCATGATCGTTTCTTCTTCCTCTCCCCCTTTTCTTCAGTTTACATTCCCTCTTCCCCAGAGCCATCCTCTTTTGAGCCGCAAACCTTCATTAAAAGTTGGATTTTTTTTTCCCTTGTTCTTGTCTCGGGCTAGTTTTTCCTCCTCTCGCTCGGCGTCTAATTGTCGCATTATTTACATGTCACGTTTTGCATGTATGCGTGTTGGTGTTTTTAAGGCGTTTGATGCGATCGTTTTTTTTAGACTTTCCTTCTTCTTTTTGTTGTTTTTAAGTGTTTTTCATTCTTTTTTTTGTTGTTTTAGCTGTTTTTCCTTCTTTTGTTGTTTTAGCTGTTTTCCTTCTTTTTTTTGTTGTTTTTAGCTGTTTTTCCTTCTTCTTTTGTTGTTTTTAGCTGTTTTTCCTGTCCTTTTTTTGTCTTTTTATTGGGTCTTTTGCTCGTCAAGTTCTCCGTTGATGATTTATTTGCCGTTAATTTGGATAACGTTAGCAAGGGAATAGGTAAAAGAGGTACAGTGAGGTTATGAATATTAGTAATAATTTTACTAATGATTATAGTGATAGAGTGGCAATGGCAAACATAACAGTAATTACCGCCGACGTTTATCACTAGCAGTTCTATGGGGAATGTAGTGATGTTGGTGGTGGTCGTAGTTATAAGAAGATTTTGTCATGTTAATGATAATCAGTAGTGATAACAACAGCAACAATGATGAAAACAAGGATAGTGATATTAATAACTATAATAGTAATAATAATGATTATGATGATAATAGTAATAATGATAGGAATGATGATGATAGTATTAATAATAATGATGATCGTAGTAATAATGCAAATGATAATGATTCTTAGTAATAGTATTGTTTTAATTTGTTATGTGCTTCATTTAACTTGAATGGTCACAAGATTAGAGGGCCAATTCAGTTGATTCTTGCGATCTTTTAGAGAGCTTTGAACAGAAAAGGGAAAGGGAGAATGCTGTTGAAAATGGAAGTTTTCCTCGTTTTATTTTCTTTTGTGTTTTTTTTTCTTGAAGTAGAAAAAGAAAAAAATGGTTTGAACTGGTCCACCGACTTCTTGTCTTGCAATTGTTCTGATTATGTATTTTGTTACTGTGATCACAGTGATAACCGCAAACAGTATAATAATTACTGTTGTGATGAAATCACAACAAAAAAATCTGGAAACTTTTTTTTTTTTTTTGGATTATTTGAGACTGCTTAGTACTACGAA